GGCAGCGCCGGGGCGAGGGGGGCCCCGGAGGGCGGCGTGGTGTCTCCCTGCGCGGTTGTTGGCCGTGCTGACCGGCTTCTCCCTGCTCCTCCAGGTGAACGTCCCGAAAACCCGCCGGACCTACTGCAAGAAATGCGGCAAGCACCAGCCGCACAAAGTCACCCAATACAAGAAGGGGAAGGACTCCCTGTATGCCCAGGGTAGGGACGGGTGCGCGCCGGGGGCTCTGGGGCACGGCCCGGGGAAGTTGCGTGGGGCCCGGGTGGTCATGCCCCGCGCCAGGGTGGTGGTTGTGGGCGGAGAACGCGGCTGTCCGGGAAGCGGGGATTGCTTCTCGTCGGTTGTGCAGCTGCAGACTGAGGTCTGCTAGGGTTTGGTAAGAGTGTTAGTTGCGCTTGTAGCATGTCTTGAATTGTTGCCTAAACAGCCATTTCCTCCTGTAGGGAAAAGACGCTACGATAGGAAGCAAAGTGGCTATGGGGGCCAGACAAAGCCCATCTTCCGTAAGAAGGTGAGTGCTGCTACTGGAAGGAGAACCTGAAACTTTCTTGGCAATCCACATACCCAGCTGAAGAGGGGCAGGCACTTCAGCCTCCTGCAGCCTTGTGGTGGTCCTGTGCTCAAGCTGTGTTACGGCAGCTCTGTGCTGGTAGTGCTGTCTGGGGAGCGTAAGTTTTTCATCCACATCTGCTGACCTTCCCTGCTGCTTCTGTCTTATGTAGATGCTCCTTTTTTTGCAGGAGTGACATAGTATGTGTTTGCAGAGCAGGTTCTGCAGGGAGCGTTGACGCTGTAGGGGAGCGGGGTCTTACTGGAAGTGATGCTTTTAATGAAAGGAGCATTTTCCTCATTGCTTGCCAAAGGGGAGGAGTATGGTGAAGGGAAAGGCAGCCTGCTGCTTGCTTTTCTTATGTTCTTGAAATGTTAGTAGTTTATTGCTGAAACTTTTTGTGGGGTTTGTGAGGCTCTGCATAGTGAGGCTGTCTTCACTGACAAGGGTATGATAGAAGCAAAGCGTGTGCAACTCCTGGGGGTACCGCAGAACACGACATTTTCTTGCAGTCTGCTGTCTCCAGGGAAATCCATATTGCTGAGCCAGTAAATGAGAGCTGTTGCATTAGGCCTTTCCTGAGAGTCTCAAAGCAGCAGTGGAAGGGCAGCAGTGCATTCTGTTACAGATGAGTTGCAGAAACCTGCTGCTGTCATTCTTCCTCTTCAGTGTGGGTACCTGGAACTGTAGTCTTGCAGCATGTTTTCCCTCTGTGCCTCTACATACCTCCTGCCAAGGAGTTGGGGGTGGGGGCAAAGTCTGTGGTACTTAAAGCAGGGAAGCAAAACCCGATGGGCTGATTTGTTAGTTTTTGTGTGAACCGTTTAGTTATAGCACTTATAGAGCTACTTGGCTCACTGCTGGAAAGCCCTGGTGTTCTGCTGGAGATGTTCAGGAAGTCTTCCAGCAAGAAGAAAAAAATGAGATGGCAGTTTTTTAAGTTGACTTTCTGCCAGGAAGTGGGGAGACCTTGCAGAAAATGCTTCCGCAAGCAGGGTACACAAAGCAGCCATACCGCTTTCGTGGTTTGGCACTCTCTACCTGTACATTGCCATCCCCATTTCTGTTTCTTCCCAGTCAGCATTATATGGATGATTGACAGAAGTTTATAACTGGTGGTTACAGCTCTGTCCAGCTGCTACAGTAGCCTTGCAGCTTTGGATTCTTCCCTCTGTAGTCTTTGGGTTTCACCTAACTTCTCAGTAGCTGTGCGTCTACACTGAACACGTGTCGCTGCTCCTTCTGGGGAAAGTTTGTCAGTGGTGCTGCTTTCAGGTATTTCTTCTGCCTGGCTTTCTGCTGAACTTCTGAGCAGTGTCAGTCTGTTCTCCCACACTGCAGAAGTGCCTATTCCTTGGTGTGTTCACTGGCACAGACTTTCTTCCAGTGTGGCTGATGTCTGCAGGGGACCAGCCATGCCCCACTGAGTGCCAGTGTCCTTTATTGTGAAGGTACAGATCCACTATACTTCTGTACTGGTCCTTAAGGTGCCCTCTGGTTTTTAATGGAGGGAGCCTAACTGTGTTGGTAGTCTTTTTCTTTACACTTTGAGAACAAGCTGCTGAATCTTCAGGAGTGCAGATAACAAGCTTTCCCTGAGAACAGCAATTTGTTTGCTTGTGGACATTTTGTTCGTTGATATGCTTTGCTCCTCTGCTCCCAGGCTAAGACTACGAAGAAGATTGTGCTGAGGCTGGAGTGTGTGGAGCCCAACTGCAGGTCCAAGAGGATGCTGGCCATTAAGAGGTGCAAGCACTTTGAACTGGGAGGAGACAAGAAGAGAAAGGTATGTTTGTGTATCGAGAGTGGCTGAGAAAGGGTGGTGACATTCAGTGGTGAATAAACTTGCTCTGTCTCTTCCTTCTTACAGGGCCAGGTGATCCAGTTCTAAGCTCCATCCTACCTGTTGTTATGGGTCATATTAAAGTACTTAGAAGTGATCCATTGCTTGGTTTTGTGTATCTTCTCTTGTTGGTGGGGTGGGACTTCCAAGTACATCAGCCCAACAGGAAGGTGTTGCTTGCAAAGCTGCTTAGTAAATGAACAGTTTGTAATCTAAAGGCTTTTGAAAAAACCCTGCCGATGGCTGGGATCTCCTTACTGTGTTACCAAGAGGTGTTTTAGAATATATGTAGAGCCTGAGGCTCTGATGGATTTTTGCACCAGTGGCTTCTCTGCATGAGCATTGTGCTGCTGCTTTTCTCCAGGCTTTTATGAGCTTCCATGGTAGAAGGCTGTCTTCAAAAGGGCCTCCTATAAACTTCTGCAGCTTGTTTCATTTAAAACAGTTCATGTCTCTATTACAGTGGTTCCATTTCAGGAATGCTATGGTGAATTTGAATTGTTGGTAGACGAAGTAGTGATTGGAAAAAAAAGCAGAGCTGCCTGAGGAGGCCTTTTTCCTCTCCAGGCCTTTGCCCGAGAGGAGAGGCAGGTAAGGTTCCTTGCACCCAGCAATGGTTTCGACACAGTAGGGGCCAGAGTAATCTGAACTCCCGCGAACAGCCCCTGCACTTGGCTGTAGGCCCCTCTTCACAACAGGGAACGGTTGTACAGGGGCAATGCATGAGCAAAGGCTCTGGAGTCGCTGGTGGGTTTAGTACAAGGGACTTCATCTGATGAAGCGTCACCCGCACCATTAAGCCGTAGTTATGTGCTGCGGCTCAGCTATGACCTGTGTGCAGTGGCTGTGAGTGTTATGGTAGCTCAGGGACAGGAAAGGGACAGCTTCATGTCCATGGTTCCCCCAGCTGCATGCTGTCACACTGAAAGTGATGGTGTGACAGGCCTCAGCTGCCTGCCCCTTGTGTCTGACTGCTGTTGGCACTTCTTAGAATTTTCCTTAAAAGAAAAAGCCCAAGCACAGCACTGAAGTTTCAAATGAGCAGTGACTGATGGGCAACTACCGAGAGTGTGGACAGCCTGCCCTGGGCTTTGATGGGATCATCCACTTGAGGCAGCAGTATGCTGCTTGTGAGCAGGAAGTTCACTGTCAGCAGGTGCTGGGAGTGCAATACAGAGCTCTCTCTTAAGAGTAACTTTCTTGTAGTGGAAGTAGAGCTGGAGGATGGAAAAGTGCCTCTTCGCATCTTCATAGGGACTGAGAGCGCTCAGTTACTGAACGGTAACAGAATTTGTGTTTTTATTTATTCAGTACTGGCTGATGTGATTGGCATTTTCAAACTCCTGCTGCTTAAGCTGTTAGCAGCAGTGGCTTTGGCCTCTGCCTGTGAGACGGACTGTACGGCTGCATCGTGTCAGCTTTACTGAGCTCTGTTTGTAATAATTGTGACAAATTTCACAAGAACTTAGTGACTGGAACAAACCGGCCTGTTTGCTAAAACCCAATTTAATTTCAGATACCATGCTGTACCCCTGTACAGTGGAACTAAGAAAAAGCTTAGCCTTTTTAAGGGACATTTTAATCAAAGTGCTTAATCACAGAAATAAGAACAAATCAGGATATCCTGATTGTGTAGTAGTCAGAAGAGAACATACTTGTACATGATGGTTGCAGAAGTGATTATGTACCCATCTCCTGTCTCAGAAGGACCTGTGTTAGTCAACCTAAAGGCTACTGCCAGCAGTGGAAAGCAAGCACACATATTTCTGGAAGGCAGCTCACTGAGGAAGGGGGACCCCAGTGGCCCCATGAAGGGTGGAGAGGGAATTGTCACCTAAAAGGAAGTGACAGCCGCTGGTGAGAGGAAGACTCCTGGGGTAAGGAGAAACCCTCAAAAGCTGAGTCCTAAGGCATGATACTTAATCATACTTGTACTAAGCAGGCAGCTGTCAAGAAAGCAGTTGCTAAGAAGTACAGTGATTTAGGCCAGTCCCTGAGTTGTCAGAAGGTGGAAGTAGATGTCCACGCTCTGAGGAGGGTGTTGGCTTTCTTCAGCAGGGGTAGGAGCAGCTTTTCTTGTTCTTGGACTGTGTGCTCCAGCCTGGCAAAGCAAGAGCAAGGCAGCCAGGGTGTGTTTCCCTATTGTCCCTGAAATGCTCAAGGAGGGCTGTGAGATGCTGCATGAATCCTTTGCATTTCTTTGGTTGGTAGTGGCAGCGGGTGTTAACAGGAGTTGCTGCCCTGCTGGGGCCCTTATAGCCCCTTGGAGAAGGAGTTAGGTGAGATGCCAGAGAAAGGGTAAACAGAAGAGAAGCAGTGCCCCTTTCTCTGTTACCTCTTGGTGATGGAGTGATGGGTATTTGTTACATTAGGCTGAAGGTTCACAGTCCACATAGAAGCACTTGAGTAGTGAATGCCTGAGGAGAGAACAAAGGCACCCCGCTTGGAGGAAGGAGACAGGCTTCTTGTGACAAGAAGTTTAGACGGTCTGAGGCTTACAAAAAGATTGTCTTTGTGTCTCCTATAGTGCTACTACTTTCAGCAGCACGGTGCCTGTTGGGTTCACCTCCACGCTCAGGGAGGAGACCCAGCTGTAAACCCCCCAGTCTCTGCTGGCTGGCAGGACCTGCCGGATGGAGCATGCTGGGTTGCAGGCCAGCCCATTGCCGAGGAAGGTGAGGGAGAAGGTGAAGTTCTGGGGTCCCCCAATCTCTTGCTGATTCAGCACCGCCACGGCGTAGGCTCGGCCAGACAGGGGCCGCTCCCACAGCTCAAAGTTCTTGTCCTGCCAAGGAGAAAATACATTAAGGGAGGCAGAACTGATGGTCTTCGTGCCTGTCTGATTAAGCAGGCTTCAGGAACAAGTGGGCTCGCTGAGCTTCTGTTCCCAAACCCTGAGCACTCCTTTATATCCCATGTGTCCCCTTTCTGAGGAGGCTGGCTGCCTGTGCCCCGCCCTGCTCCCTGAGCCCAGTCCTGCTGTACCTTGGTGATTTGGTATCCCTGCTTGCCCAGCGGATCCTGGTTGATGGTGATCACCTCTTTGTTCTGGAGCAGCCCTCTGGCCTCAGGACTAATGTGCCGCAGGTCGTTGGACATGAAGAGGGGAGCTGCCATAATAGCCCACATTGCCATCTGAGTCACCGCCTGGTCCCAGCTCAGCCCAAAGTTTCCAATCACCAGCTGTGACAAGAAAACAAAAATGCCCGGTAATGCTGCCTGCTGAGGAGAAACTGGGCCACCAACCCGAGCACTGGTAAATGACAGGATGCTGTGGGTGGGACCCCTGTTTGGGGACTAGTTAGATAGGCTGAGCGCCAGGAGCAGGACCAGCTGGTTGGGAAATGCAAGGCATGACTAGTGTGGCGATTTAGGATTAACCACTGGTGGAGGTGAAGCAGGATCCTTAACTGGCTAGGCAGTGTTTAAGAATCTGCTTTTGGATGTAGCTATTCCTTCCTTGCAATGCTGGCACCCAGCCTGGCACCCAGGGGTTTTCCTTCTGGTGGGAGATCAGCACTTTGGAGACTGTCTCCCACTGCCACGCCTATGTTCTGAACTGGCACTGCTTGTAGAGGCTGCATTACACAGAGACAGCGCTTCCTCGGTACTGTCCATCGCTGTAGTTCTCTTTCCCTTTCCAGCCAGGGACCCTCCCATCAGGGTCCTGATCGTAGGGCCCCATCAGAGCCCCTCAGTGTTTCTCCCCTGATTCTCTCCCTCCCCATCCTTCTCAGCCTACAGCCGAGGAAAGGATTTTTTGCGGGTGCTGCAAGGGGTGTGGGTTGTTGCTCTACTTGCCATGTCAGGATCATTCCAGCCTCCTGGCCCAGCTATCTTCACAATGCTATCCTGGTGAAGTGCTGTCCAGTCCAAGATACTCTTGATGCTGCTCCAGGAATCGTAGACATCAAAAAAGTTCCTCCAGTGATTGCAGTACTGTTTGATCTCTGTGTAATTGGGCTGCCAAAACAATGAGTGTGATTAGCCAGAGAGCCTGGCTGTACAAGAACAAGACTGTACACAAGGCTTGACTGGATCAGGGATAATTTGGGGGAGAGCTATGATAACACCTTCCATCACCAGCTATCTGGATGATCTAGTGCATGTTTGTTCCCTAGAATGCCTTGTGCCCAGTAACTCCAGTCTCCCACGCTCCAGACAACACTATTGCTTCCCTTGGGAGAATAGTTGTGGCCACCAAGCTCTGTTAGAAAATTCCTTTGAGCGCTATTTTACGGAAGGCGTGATGGGGCCAGTGGGATTAAACTGTGACATCCCAGTAATTACTGCCATTTCTTGGGTTTACACCCTTTGGTGACTAATGCATTTAACTTCCAGTGGGAGGGAATGGCAGCATCCTGTCATGGTGGCACAGGGGAAGCCAGCTATGGGTGGAGAGCAACATGTCGGTCATGGACCCTGGCTGGCAGAAATTTGTCAGTAAACAATGTGGAGAATTCCCATTAAATAGGCTGTCTTAAAGTCTCTCTCCTGGTCCCTAGAGGTGACTGTAAGGCGTGAGTCTGCAGCACTCTGCATCCAGGAGGAATAACACCGAACTATCCACTAGCTGTGTGTCTGCATTGCCAATGTTTTGTTGCTTGGCTCCTTGGAGACAGAAAGCAGATGGATGCTGCTCTGTTCTTTGGTGTGCTCCAGCTGGGCTGTGCCTTCATGCTGCAGGATCCTACTGAATTCTTTTCAGCAGAGTAATGACTTGCCTCAGATACACTTCAGGTCCTCCACCTTACAGTCTTGTTTTCTGTCAGACCAGGGAGCAGCAAGTTTCTAGGGAGGCTGTTTTGCAGTCTTAATGCTTTTCTGTTCTTCCCACTTCCAGTCCCAGGATAAGCCTTGAGAAACACTCCTTACCTGCTGCACAGGCCTCAAGTAGAAAGGCCACTCGCAGGAGTACACAATGCTCCTTCCAGTCTTGTTCAGGGCCAGAGACATGCGCCTGTAACCTGAAGGAAGGGACAGACAGCACTTCCAGTCCCAGGATAAGCCTTGAGAAACACTCCTTACCTGCTGCACAGGCCTCAAGTAGAAAGGCCACTCGCAGGAGTACACAATGCTCCTTCCAGTCTTGTTCAG